AGGACCCGATTTCAAAACTAACTATAGAATAAAATGATCCCCAAATCAACAATCTGCCCAAAATCCAAATATACAACCTATGTTTTGCTCAGTCTTCAGGAAAGGGTAAGAAGTTGAAAACAGCTGAGAAATAGAGAACAGAACCCATTCCACGTAAGTAACCCACACTGGCTAGTGCGGACTTTGCATGTGGCGCCACGGAAGTCAACTGACCACAGGCTCCACTGAACCAAACCAGAACAACCTTCACCAGTTAAACAGGACAAGAGTAGTTTGTCAGGAGTAGAACAGGGTGTAGCAAAACACACCTTGGAGTCAGCAGGGTGTGAGTATGTACATTCAGGTTCAAAGAAGTCTCTTTAACTCATTCCTTGCCAAAACAGAGAGCTACAGGATAGGATCAAATCACAGCTCCTGCCTCACAACAGGAGCCCTCGTAGCAGGACTATTTTGTTAAGCTCTTTGAACATTTTCTTCCTCCAGTAAATGAGAAATGGAGTGATCAAATGCTCAAATACACAAATTTTACTCAGAAAAACAGAACAAAATATGCATAAGCATTATGAATTAGGAGTCTGGAACACCACACCCCTCCTCTGTCCTAGAAAGGAAAAGAAAGGTATTTTTATAAAACTCTTTCGAAAGGCAACAAGAACATCTTTCCCTCATTTTATCTCAGGTCTAACTGAACTGAGGTTGAGTGTTAGCAGAGACAGCGAAAGCTAAACACAAGAAAAAGGAGAAATAGGTCTCTAGTGTGTATTGAATCCTAGGAATACTTGCAACATAATTAATACTCATAATACTATTAATACTAGAGCCTCACAAAACTCAGTGCTTTAGGATACACAAACCTAACCCAAGGACTGAAAGGTAGTACATTCAAGGTAGTATTTTTTTTTAATTTAGCTAATAATCTTAAGATTCAACAAGAGGCATACAATCATTTTTTAAAACACACATACCAATTATTAAAGGGCCTATATAACTGAAGAAACTACATAACCAAACATTAGCCTGTATCAGAAATAGCTTATGAATAATATAAATACATTAGAAATCAAACCTACCCCAAGAAGCCAAGATGACCTACACTAGAGCACCTACACTCTAGATGACCTTCGCTCTGAACAAATGTGGGTAAATCCCAGAAATTGGAACTGTAAAGGCACTAAAAGAAAACTTCCTTAGTGCCGTGTCCTGAAGTCTAAGGATTAAAGAATAATGAGCAAAATTATGGCTAATTAAGTCCTTGACTTCAATTTTCTTTTGCAGTTATGTAAAATATTGCCTCTCAATCCTAATTTCTCCTCCATAAAAAAAAAAAAACAACTTTTCATAATTTTACAAATTCATAATGACCAGGTATACAAATTTTGCATCTTTGAGAAAACTTTCCCCATGGCAGAGACAGGGCCATTAAGGCTGTGGTTTCAGTTCAGTGAGCATAAATAGCACCTGGAGGATGCCCGGTTGCAGATCACAGAGATCCTACTTCCCTAGGCTAGGGGGTACCTGCATTTTAAGCATGCATGGTGGGGGCAGGGGGTAAAAAAAAAAAAAAAACAGGACCTTTTTTTTAAAGGAATTATTTAGAAGAGCTGTAA